GTAAGTTGTATTACTCGCCAAAGGAAAATCGCCAAAAAATCGTCAAAATCCGTACAACCGTCTACCAAAGTAGCACCCATTTATTTACTCAATAATTATTTACAAGAATTGTTCATTATACTATTTTATGATGAATTACATATATATTTAGGACTATGCTTTTATTTGCAAAGCTGTTGGACTTTGTTTTACTCATCTAGTATTTTATCAACTCATTTTACTATTCTGTTTACGTAAAATAACGGCGTTTCACTACTGCAAAACTTAAAAGTTACTATTCTGTTTACGTTTAAAAATCACAATTTAGTGCTCTCATTTAGTGCGCCTAAAATATTCGCCAAATTTTGAAGGCCAAAATAGTTTGGCGCCAACTTACCCCGCTTATGGAATTTTAGCCGATATTGTATTACTGTACGAATATCTAAGGAAATTTAAGCGTTTTGTGATAATAATAAATTTTTGTTCATTTTTCATCTGACTTATGCATTCAATTCATAACGAACCCGTACTCACGCAGCAATTGAGGCTATTGAGCAGCTATTGAGAAATCAAAAAATAATGATTGTAAAAGGTAGTGATGGTACAAAAATTTTTCAATTTTTTTAGATGTTACACGTTAGTCGAAAGGTTAAGAACCGCTGGTTTAAATATATTACTCTCAATCTAACATAACTGGCATCGAGTACTTCCGCTAGTTGCACGTTAGTTCATACGTGAGTTCCACCTTTGAAGTTTAAAAACGAAATTTCTGAAAAACTTTCTCATTAATGGACTATCTTACTAGTGCGCAGTAACGGTATTTTGATATGGGGGGGGGGGAAATTGCTCTTGTAACGACATGCTTAAAACTAGAGACCCCATGCTTTGTAATTAGTAACCCAAACCCGTTCCAGCTTACTAGGGTATAATTATTGGGTTGCTGGCGAGGGTCAGCGTAACCAGCGGTTCCTAATAACTGCGGCGCCAAAGAGATTCTTGACCTTTGTTGTCGTCTGAAAGAATTATTTTATTCGAAGAATTTATTGTTGTAGTGAGCTCGATATCTTTTTCTACCACTTTTGCTCTGCACATATTTCTACCATTTTTCTTGCGGTTATAGAAAGTGTGAGCTAAATTGAAAGAAAAGCTGTATCGACATTTTATAGGACCATTTGCTGCTGTTTTTTTTTTTTTCGGGGGGGGGGGGGGGGGGGCTGAAACCGAAATGGCAGAAATGAAAATTCAATTATTGTTGTCGGTACGTATGTAGGATAACTGGAAATTTTTGACGCCTCTCGAAGACAAAAGAACTTTAAAATATAATAAAATATCTGATGTGGATACCACATCACTTCTTTGCACGACCAATTAAATTATACTCATTTTTTGCTGTACTTCATTCCAACTTATTTCCTCCAGTCTCATTAGAGATATTTTTTAGATATACAAGAATACATAAAAATTCAAAATATCTTCATTTAAAACTGTAAAATACAAAAAAACATTGTCAGGAGATGTTTGTATTTTCACTTACTTCGGGAACATACTGTATCCTGAATAAGAACAGGGAACTTACTAAAGCTCTGTTCCAGGTTGTGTGAAATAGACGACACAAGCAGGAAGGGTATACTAAACCCTAAAGTAAAGCAACCGAGTGAAAACTCGTAAAACTGCATTGGCAAGCGGCTTGCTTTCTAAATCTCCTTCTCTCTCTAACGCTTGGCAAAAAGCCACAACTTAAATACTTGGGCGTTAGCAAGACAATTTGCATAAACAAGTTCAAGCATTTAATTCTGGCCGGAAGTAGAAAATAAGAAGTGTTTTACAATTTTAAAATAAAAATAAACGTTAGTAAAACTTAGGATCCTTACAACATAAAACATAAATTAAGTTAAAAAGCTATTATTGCAGTTAAAATTCAATTGTGTACGCCAAAACGAGCCATTCGGCCAACGAACAAGAAGACCGAATTTTCGGTGCGCAGAATTGAAACTTAACTTTTGGTCCCACTTTACAAAAAGACACTGAAATTGGGCACCAAATGATTTAATTCCCTATTCTACTAAAACTTGCAAATGTAAAAAATGGCGGCCTCGTTAGGCCTAGCGCCACTTGAATTTTTAAATTGTTGATAATTCTACAACTATTGCATGCGTAGTAACTAAACGCATAAAAACGTTAACCGGAACATAAGAACAACATAATCAAAACACTTTTAAAGCAAAAAATGTGCAGTTTACGAACATGTAAGAATAAAATTTCTGAGCTCACCGAGCCAGATAACAGGGTGAGAATATACGTATATATATACGTTTGGTGCCGTCGATTGCAACGGAAAAAGGAGGTGTTATAGCAGTTTCATATACAAAATAACATTCTACGGCTACTCGTTTCGAGTCATGCGAGATAATATCCGAATTTTTTTGCGATTATTTGTTTTCCTTTGCTTCGTACAAGGAAGTAAAAAAAAAAAAAAAAAAAAAAAAAAAAAACCGATAGCTTTAAAACTTCATCTGGCATCTTGTGGAACCACTTGCCAGTAAAATCTGCTGCCAATGTCAAGCGAGAAGAGTCACTTAAATAAATTATTAGAATTTGTTCTAATTTGTTTTCTATGACCTTATTTATTTAACCTAATGATATGCGATAATAATTTTAAATCTGTAGATTTATTTAAAATGTAAAACTAAAAACTATATTTACATAATATTTTTTTAATATCGCTTGATTTATCTATTTTAGAAAATAAAGAATCTGAAACATTGTATAACAATGATTGTAAGCAAAAAAAAAAAAAAAAAAAAAAAAAAAAAAAAAAAAAATTGTAAAATAAATTTTTAAATATACGAATATTTAACCTTTTATATGATTCATTTTCGATGATTTATATGATTTATTTTATTTTCGATAAACTTGCAGAGGTTATATCTGCAGTAAAAATTTTAAATAAATCAAAATTATAACTTCATTTAGCTTATAAATGTTATATTTGAAAAATATTCTCAATTTAAGCTTAAAACAATAATTTTACACTGGTTTATGATTTCTAAATATATGCATATGTGTATGGATCAGAAAATTTAGAAAAACAGAAGAACATTAATGCGAATATAATTGCGAAAAATTTTACAAAGAGGAAAGAGATATAAAGATTTTTAAATATGAAAACAGAGGGCTTTTTAACACTATCATATAAATATACTATACTATCATATTACAATGTAAAAACAATTTTATTGTGTGTTTTTTTAAGTGGTCTAACATTTATTTTCTTTTTATTTGTTATTGTAATATTCATAAGGAAAAATATTTAGTTTTAACATCCATAGCAAATGTTATATTATACAATTACTATTTACTATAAGTCTGCTCGAATACATAAAAAATAGTAAGAAATACGTTTGAAACCGAAGGGTCCAGATTCGAATCCTGGTGAAAGCATGTCTGTAATTGTCCGTCCTTTCATAGGAGGTAATGATGGCCACCAATTAGGTGCTTCCACAATAAAATGGCCACTTCTAGCCTTAGTACTGGCCAATCCTAAGTTTTCTAAGTGCCCGCCAATGGAAAAAAAAAAATTCTTCTTCACTTCTTCTATTTACTACTTCTTCAGATTATATAAGCTTTCAGGTTTGATATTATAATTATTAAATACCATGTTCTTCTCACTTAAACCATAAAGTTCAATTCAAGAGCAATATCACAAAATATTTAAAAAGAGCATATATTTAGGATTTCCCATACGCAATCTCGCGTGCTTTGTTTGTACACGATAACTTTGTTGGGGAGCTATTCATTTCGCTTTAGCATTTTTCGTTGAAAGCTTTAAATGTCAGTTCACTTTTCAAACTGTTGCCACCAAATATTAAAGCCCTGTATTGTATTTAAAGAAATTAAGTAATGAAGAATCTGCATAAATGTATGTATGTTTCTCGCATTCTGGAAGCCCAAATTTGGAATTTGGAACTTGTTTTATTATCTCTTTCATATTTTGTAACATTTTAACGAATTTTTGATTAATAAACTCCATGATTTCAAAGCGCGCCATGGCAACACTGTACGAAAAAATAATTTTTTTATTTCCAGCGCGCGTGTGTATCGGAAATTCTAAAGGTATTCCCATTTTAAAATTATTTTGCGATATTGCTGTTGAACTGAATTTTATGGTTTAAGTGCGAAGAACATGATATTTAAAAAATAAAAGTAACCCACAAAACGTTAAAAAATGCCCTCTTGGGCGTATTGTAAAATCTGAAGGCTTTCAGACTTTTTTATTTTTATTTTTTATACAGTGTTGCGACTGCTCTCTTTGAAATCGTTGAGATATTTAATCAAAAATTCGTTTTACAAATCAAAAAAAAAGTTTTACAAAATATGAACTAGATAATAAAATAAATTCCAAATTTGGGCTTACAGATGCCCATATTCGAATGGAGGCTACGTTATTCAAAATTTGATGTCTCTAGGTACCGATGTTTTTTTTAAAATGCGAGAAACATGCATACATTCATGTAGATACTTCATTATTTAATTTCTTTAAATATAATGCAGGGTTCTAATATTTGGCGGCAATAATTTGAAAAGTGAAACGCCGTTTTATAGTGGACGATGCAAAATGCCAAAACGAAATTTCTGGACAAATTGCCTCTTTTGGTTAATTAATTGAACTGTATGATAACAATAACGAGTGAATTATTAGAAGAGAAGGAAATAAAATAGAGAGAAAAAAAAAAAAAAAAAAACGAAGAATTGGAAAAGAATTCATAAAAAATTTTAATTTATCCGAAAATGATGCAACGAGTAAACTTTAAAAAAATTAAGCCGAGTTTCAAGAATATAAAAGAATTATATGATATATTAATAATTAAGTAATTTATTATAGTTGTAGTTCATAATTTATTATGTTTTTATTATGTTTGTATAAAAATATTTATTATTTTAATACTATTTATTAAGTCTGGTAATATATATATCTTTATATATTTTTTTTTGTTTTGTTTTTGTTTTGTTTTTGTTTACAGACCGCTCCTCGTTTTCTCAGAAGATAGAAAAGGAATAAACGAGGTATGTTATAATACAGAATTCATTTAAAACAATTTTTCTAAAACAAATTTAATTTAAACACAACTTAAGTTCTAGAACAGTTTCATCAAGATGTCAATAATCCAAACAATGTCTTGCAAAATACAATGGTTTTGTGCTCCGTAAAGTTCATAGCCGAACTTCCCAAATTTTTAGAGTATTATGCTAGGTAGGTTACGGAGCGCCCCTAAGCATTTATCATCAGTTCACCGAAGTAAGTGTTGAAATATTGCACTAGTCCACAAATTGGTCATAGTTATGATCATGACTTTATAAGTCTTAAATTTGAGTTCATTTTAATTATTTAATTTACTCCATCGGCCCACTGCGTTGACCTGCCTATAGGTCATTAGTAACCAGCGGCTTTGATGGTCACCAGTTACATTCGGTTTAAGTTAGATGTCCTTATTAGAGTCTTTCAAAAATTCTTTTAGCTTGTGCTTTAAGCAAAGTAGCTGAAACTGTGCCATTAACATATGTGCGACTGCGCGAACATAAAATGTTTAATATATTCTTACTCTCACATGTACATGTTAACTGAGCATAAGATCTTTAATTTGTTTTTCAGATTTAATTTTTATATCATTGCAGTGTAAATTGGGCAATTTAAAAGCAATAAACCCGTTTCTTAATGATTTATTCGCCATAGTTAACTGGTGACCTTCAACAAGAAGGCTTTTGAGGGCTGAAGGTCATTTCGGTCTTCATTGTCTCTTTCGGTTTAACTTTATTTCAATAATCTTTCAAAATTTCCTGCATATCTGAAAACCGGTTACCGTTAAGTCGTGATCCGTTATTATTTAAACTGCGTTGTCGGTAGCTTTTGCTTTTAAGTTGCTGAAACATTCTATTTATTGATGCAGTTTTCGATATATTTAATTTCTAAATTTATATACATTCTGAAAAGGTTCATATTTTAAAGTTTGAAAGGGCCTTTGAGGCCACTCTCGAGTATATATATGTATAAAATAAAAGCAATATGAAGTTCAAAATTACTAAATTTACTCTGTCCTTTCAATTCCTCATCTTATTTTGAATCCCTTTCTGTTCTAAATAGTTTATAATATTTTTTTATAAAACGCTTCATTCAAAATTAACCCCTTCAAGTAATCTTACTGCAATGTGGCAATTCTCAGAGAACCAGATTAAAAGAACTTTTTGCTATAAATACCACTGCACATACTATTGCACATCCATTTTCCCCCCCTTCCCTTGCTGCTGGCAATGTGGGTTTCTCGCTGCCTTATTTATTGTTTCAAGACATTAAGATACACGAAACTGTCATGTATATTTCGCACCCAAGATGACGTGTGATACAGGATGTGTAAAGAAAAATTAAGTTTCGATAAATAAATTGGTTATTGTTATTTTCCGTTACGATTCCTGGTTTTTATTCTTTATGGATCTCAATTAACTATGCAGTAAAATAATTCTGCAAATACTTGATGATTCATTATTGCGTATAGAGAAATGATAGAGCTGCGTGGACACATGACATAACATAACGGAGGGAAAGAACTTTGACAAACGTGAAGCCCATAACAAAAACAATTTATTTATATTTATTCTTCTCAATCACACGTCATCTTTATGTGTGCGCTGTGCATTCTCCAACAGATTAAAATGGGCAATAAAAAGGACTGTTGCCAATTTAAAGTTAATAATTTTCTTTCATATTTTTTCATACTTTATATCTTGTCTCTCGCTCTCTGTATATATATATGTATGTGTGTGTGTGTGTAATTAAATATATGAAAGCAAGCTACAGATGCATATTAAATCAATCAAACGAGATGCATATTGCGCCGATAATGATGTGAATCAAACAATGCGTCTAAGAAACTGTATTATCTAATAATAAATTCATGTGAATCTACGGTTACATCTGACTTCTGCAAATGTAATCCTTCCATCTACGCAGTTTCATATACGTATCTGCAATCTGTTATAGTTACTTCTACTAGTGTCGCACTAGCCAAGAAGATATGAGCTATAACATTAATCGTATAGAAATACACTGCTGGCCATTAAAATTGCAACACCGTGAAGGAAAGCCAATACAAAAAGTATATTCATTGTACGTAAACAGAATGGCATGAAGACAAAATGATTAAATTTGTAAACATTTTGGAGGTTTACAAGGGGTGAGAAATTAGTAGAAACAGCTGCCACCCCTGGCTGCTAAAACGGCCCTTACCTCATCAGGCCTGGAGTCAAACTGGGCTTGGATGACAAAAATAGGCAACTCATTCTATGCTGCTTCAAATCTATGCCACACTTCATCAACCGTATTAGCTGGAGAGGGGTGGCGGGACAGTCTCTCAGCAGCCCATGACCAGATGTTTTCAATGGGTGACAGATCTGGAGATTGTGCAGGCCAGGTCAGCAGTCGAGTACCCCGTGTGTCGAGGAAGATCAGAACACGACGTGCAACATTTGGTCTTGCACTACCTTGTTGGAACATGGCGTTTGCGGCGCCTCGAAGATAGGGCACAACCCACAAAACGTAAGATCTGAGAAATGTGCCCATCTGCGTTGCGTTCAAATTACCGTCGATCCGAAGTAGAGATGTGTGTGTCGCGTACCCAATAAGTGCCCAAACCATCACACCAAGTGCAGGGCCCTATGCCGATATTGAATACAAGCAGGCGACGTGCTGGCACCTCGGCCATCAGAATACTGGACGTAGACACGAGACTCGTTTGAAAGAGGCGACATTGTGCCAGCTCAAATAAAAATGTGAAATGATGTTTTAAGCCGCCAGATGAGCGGGCTAAGTTCAAAGTAATATTTATATGTTCTATATACTGAGAAACTGAAGATAAAATGAACTATTAATTTAATATACATATACAAAGTTACTAGCTGCGATCAAAGTTTATGAGTTCTATATACACCTGAAAAGAAAGTGTATAAAAACATTTCAATACCTAATGAAGTCAGTTAATTCCAAGCAACAACCAATTCGTAAATACTTTCTTTTTTGCCGAACCATGAAACAAAACTTTTAGACACTTTAAGTGAATACGTATACGTATGACGCCATGATTTAAATTTAATGAAATATAACTGCATTTTTTTCAAACTAATATAAGAATTAACGTGTGAATAACAAACCGCTTCAGTTACCTCAAATGAAACAAAAATTTGCCAACAACACTTAGTTGTTTAAAATGCTGATATTAACGAAAACCGTTCGACATACAATGACATCACGTGCAATCGCGTGCTTTCGTCAACGTTAGAACATGACCTTATACAGAGTGATTCAAAATTCATCATCAATATTTGGTGGGGAGGTAGGGAATAGGAAAAGAAGGAGATTTCACATAGGAATGCATGGGCGCATATGCCATGTAGTAGGGCAAAATGACCCCAGTTCAGTGATGGAAAGAACACGTAAGAAAGAAGTAGTAAGAAAAAAAATCATTCATTATCTTACATGTAACATTTCTTTTACAGACTTACAATAGGTGCTCGAACTGCTGACCATGTGTTAGAAAGCATGACCCACAACGGCGTCGCATGGAAAACCGGCCCTACTGGAATATGTCTGTCATTTCTCGGATGTTTGCAGCAGCAACCGATATGCGTGCTACAAGGGCCATAGCACTATCAACAGGGGTCTCGTACACCATGTTTTTCATAGCATCCCATACAAAGAAATCGATTGGACATAAATCCCGTGAATGTGATGGCCAAGAAACCGGTTCGCCACGACCAATCCATTAACCTCCAAACTTTCTGCTTAAGTAAGCACGCACAGCATTTGCGAAATGTGCAGGAGAGCCGTCATGCTGGAACCACCTTCGCCGGATAATACCATCAGGAACCTCGTTCAGAAGATCCGGTAACACCGTATGAAGAAATGTCAGGTACTTTCATCTTCAAAAGAAACGTCCAAACGTTACGGTAGTACTCGTATATACGGGCTCAACAAACAGTCACCGACAATCCCAGTCCGCACATTGACAGCAAAACGTTGTTGCGCAGTTCCAGATCTTGTACCGTGTGGGCTCTGATGAGTCCACATATGCAAACTGTGTGTGTTGAAGACACCCTCTCGAGTAAAAAAAACGCTTCATCAGTGAAAAGAACAAACGTTGGGAAATTGGAATCAATGGCTGTTCTCTGCATGAACCACTGACAAAAATATAACACTCTTGGGATGGTCGTTTACTGCCAGTAGCAGCAATCAATCCTGTTGCTGTTACTAGGAGCAATCAATCCTGTTTCACACAGTTGTCGATGAATATGTGAAAGCATTTGATGCTGTGGCACACTGCTGTTGGGGAAGCGTGCTTTATCCTGGCTCGAAGACATTTTCCTCCTGCTGCACCATAAGTTACTTGCATATCTACAAGTTCATTCCGCGTATATCGGTTCATGTTACTTCTGCAAAGTCACCTAGTAGAATAACAACTGACTGCACGAGTCAAACAGCTAAGCTTATGTTATGGGAGTTGTGTACACACAGCGCCCTTTACACCGCCATGCGTTCGTCTGCGCCCATGCTTTCCTATGTGAAATCGCCTTCTTTTCTTATTCCCTACCTCCCCACCAAATATTGACGATGAATTCTGAATCACCCTGTATAATAAATATATTTAACGTTTGTAAATGTTAATTTTACTTCGTATTTTATAAAACTTACCACAAATTTTTTATTAACAAAGTTTACGATTTAAAAGCTAGCAGTGGCAACACTTTTCGAAAGAAAGCAAATTTTTATCTCTAATGCGCAAAACTCTTGCCACTGGCAAAAATGAGGGCGAAAATTAGTGTTTGGTCGAGTTTTTAATTAATATCTCGGCTAATTTAAGTCGTACGAAGACGAGAATGGTCGAAATGGCTTCCTACGAATTTTTGGTATCCAGGAGTACCTCTCTCGAAGCAACTCCCCGCCGTTCCGGAGGAGTTAATGCCACAAGCAAGCAAACAAATAAACAGACAGACGCGAACACATTTTAATAATGTAGATT